AACCCTAACCCTAACCCTAACCCTAACCCTAACCCTAACCCTAACCCTAACCCTAACCCTAACCCTAACCCTAATAGCTAGCCTCTAGGAGGGACCCAGGCATGGAATAAGATAGTATAGTACTAGGGGCCCTGAGGGGATGAGGCACACAGAGGAGGGTAGTTAGGATAGTAGCAGCTAAGGTTAGGATATAGTATCTAATATATATCTCTGCTATTTAGGTATGCCTCTATAGGGGGGAGCCACCATACCCAGTGGGAACCATCTTATAAATAATAATGCTAGGCAGATTATGGCCCAGTTAGGGGCCCTGCCTGGATGCTCATATACTACTAGCATTAATCCTAGGAGCCTAGGGCGTAGTGTAGTGGGCAGGGCACCCAGCCTTAATAGTGGCAGGGGCCTAATCCTAACAGGTGCAGGGGGATTCAAGCACTACCCAGGCAGCACAGCTAGTGCTGGCTGTGATCTAGGGATAGTAGGCAAGCAACTAACCCAGGGATGTCATAATCAGGGGCCCATAAGGGCAGGCAGGGGGTGTCCAGGGGTGATGTTGTCACCAGGTGCGGGGCCTGTGCAAAGAGAGCCAAGAGTCACCAGCAAAGATGGTGGGACCCTATATGTAGTGCCAACACCTAGCTGGAATCAGCAGAGTTCGTTTCTAGAAAAATCTGGCAATGGTGCGGCATCTCGCGGTAATTCGGTGCCTCATGTTACTGCTGTAGATCTGATTCACCACTGCGATCCTCAGGACACCACTGGAACGCTGGCCGAGCCGCCTGGTGTTCAAGGTGATTACAGAGCGCGTGATCTCCCCTCTCCGAGCACATCTGCGTCGGCCGATAGTCTAGAGGAGTTCTTTAGGCTGCCAGACGCGCCGCAGGACAATATTCCTGTTAACCCACTAATACTTGCTGACCTCGGGCCTTGGGAGGCTAACGACCTCCAGGTACATGGGACCCCAGTGGATGGTCTTATCAACCCAGATACAACCTGCCTGTATCCTGAACCTCCAGCAATTCTCCACAGCACAACTAACCCTGGAGGAGATCCTGGCGAAAGAGATGGTATTCAGAAAATTTGTTATGACTGCCAACAAGTGCACCCCTCCTCGCCCAGTACTGATCTGGACCAACCTTTCCCTGGTATCCATAGGAAGCACCAAATTATGGGAGAGTCTAGAAGCTATAAGCGGAAGACACGAAAATCAGACAGCGGAATTCGCAAACCACTTTGAGTTCGCTCCACATTGACACCCAGGGAAGATTCCTTCCCTGCCCTTCGGTCTCAGTTTATGTGTCTATCACTAAATGACCGTTTGCAATTTCTCTCCTGGTTATTTGAAGGTGCACTATCCCACTGCATGTCTGATACTTCACCAACAGCATGTGAAGAAGGAGAGTTGCGGCCAACTTGTCGCACAAGCCCCCAGCCTGCGATCGAACAGTGTCCGGGTTTTCGCAAGACGGTCCAAAGAAGTTCGAGGGAGGGTATGGCCTGGTCGGCGGAAGAGGCGGACCTCCTGGTAAAGCTGAGAAAGGACGAGGGTCGATCGTGGTCAGACGTGACGAGGGTTTTCTCGAAGCAGTATCCAGGGAGAAGCCAAGGCGCGATACAGGTTTTCTGGTGTACGACTGTCAGCAAGAGATCGGGTTAACGTTTTTATAAATAATGACATGTGGCTGTGAATACTGTAGTTGACAATGGAGAGATCGCTAGCTGAATATTCTAAGGATGCTGTTGATAGACCTCCAAGGCAGGGGGATTGGAGTGGTCTTCTAGGAAGCTCCTTTGGCTAGGCAATCTTCCAAGCGGAACAGTGTTGTGGTGAACGGAGCCGTTTTAAAGACACCTTCGGTTTCCTTGATATATGCCTGGACCAATGTCCCATTCTTGACATCAACAAAGCCCGACTTTCCGTAGACCACCGGGTGTGGAGGAGAACAGGGCTTCCCGTCCGCTCAGCCATACTTAAGCCACATATTACGCGTGGTCAGTAAGTATAATGGCCTTTAGCCCTTTAAAAAGCTGAAACAACGGTGACTATCGACTTAGGGTGAGTGCTCTATATCCGGCCATCACCAGCGGTGATTCCTACTCACCAGGGGTGATGCAGCTAACAACGGAGCCACCCACAATGATTTTTTGTGCCAAAGTTAGAAAGACACGGGATTTCGAGATGCAGACAAATACGTCTTGTGTCTTCCAAAGAAATCCTTTCTTGTTTCATTCTCAACACGTCTGCCTTTCTTTATCCATACTAACACGTGACATCACATGACCATGTTTTCGAACGAGCACCTCGAAAAGTTGCTGGAAGAGCGCAGGAGACTAGCCGAGTCACGTGGATTCACCCTAGAGTATCAACAGGAACAGGAAAAGATTGAGAATACTGTATGTCGCCCTCGAATTGCTCCAGCCACGGAGGAGAAGTATGAACGAGTGGTTGCCAACTGGGCGCTGTAAGCTAATCCTACTATGATGATATATTAGCATTGAGAGCAGAAGCTAATATAGATTAGGTGGAGGCTCTCTCAGAGCGAACCCAAGGATGCAAATCTAACCAGAGAAGATCCCGACCCGACGCCACAGCAACTAAAACTATTCGCAGAAAGCTACGTTGTTTCCTGAAAGACAAAGCCCTCTCTGAAGTCAGCATGTAATAATTTTACTTATTTCACCTCCAAGTGGGAGCGTGAAACGTTATGAACGCTTCCCTTGGGTTTAAAAAAGGATGTTCTAAATGTACGGGCTGCCCATGTCCTGATATTTATTACTGGGGCGGCTAATTATAGGTAGTATATCCGGACTGTGTTAACAGAAAGACACAGTCTTCCTACTAAGCCCAGAGAGCGGTTCTTGGTGACAGCGAAAGATATAGATCATCTTCTTCACCATCTATTTGGCGAAGACGACCATGATTATGTACATGAGCATGCAAGAGTATAGACTGCAAGCTCACTGGCTCTCTTTTCTGGTTCTGCTGCTAGAGCTGGTGCTATTGTTGAATCAAGCTTGTACAGAAAAACAAATGAATGCCTCTACTATAAGGTAATTAGTCTATATCACAAGCGTGACGATTCTTTCTGACTTCTATTGCAGCATTTGACTTTTAATATAAAATGGAGTGGAGACGCTGGTGGGTTGAAATGCTGGGTTGTGATTGACCCTGAATTTCTTAAAGGACTACGCTACAGAGATGATAAAATGATGTGGGTATATATTTGGCTGTTCATATTTATGGTAGCTAATTGATGATCAGACCAAAGAATTGGTTTCGTGAACATCCTGTGCTTGGTAAAAGCTTTGTGTTTTGGGTAATTGTGCATGGTATTGCGGATGGTGCATTCAAGGGCATCTCAATTGTTGAAGAATTACTTGAAAATGACCCCCAAAAGGAAGAGAGTCGTGGACCCTCGAGTGGAAAGAGGATGCGAAAGAGTTACCTTTCTTTTGAATGTCTACTTCCCAGGGTCCCAAAGCAAATGAAGTGTGGACATTCTCTTCATTGTGTCATCATCTCACTAGTTTGGCTGAATGGGATGGCTTCAGAGACCGCTTATGAGTGCATGGAATCCGGGGTGCTATGGTAAATAAAAGAAAGTCGAGTGTTGCTTATCCAGCCATCTGCCTGGGTGAAGTTGGTTGAAGATACCACATGGTATTTCTATACCATTGTTGATTGTAATTGTATCATCACGTCCAAATGTCGTCTAATCAAGCACCTATATGTTGATGTCTCTGATCAGATGATCAATCTCTGCCTCAAGTTGATTGTCAGGCAGTGGGTCCTTCAGTAACGAAATTAACATGTACTCTGGCTGTCGTGGGTTATGTACCTACCCCTTCTAGAGCAAAACGTCCCTCCAGTTCACGGAGCTCATTTTCGGACAGTAGCTTTGCTTTTATTAAGTCCTTGTAGAAAGTGTGAAGATCTGGTAACCCATCCTTGACAAGTCGTTCTAGCTGTGGGCTCAGAATTTGAAGCAGCTTCGTGTGTCTTGTATCGGCCTGGATATCCTTCACTAAGGTGTCAAGTCTTCCGATGCCCCATTTAACATAGTCCTTACGATATATTAATAGCGAAAGGCATCAGCGTTCTCTTGGGCCTTACCAGATATTTTGATCGAATAATATCCCAAGCCCAAGTTCTTTCACAAGTTTGGCACACAGCTTGCCTCTATTGAGCTGCACACTAACCCGGCTTCGTCGTAAACGTTTTTCCTCTGCAGATATACTGGCAGGGCCACTTCCTGATGGATAATTGAAGTTACCTTCGTGCAGTGTAACTACTCCCACTCCGCCAATCCATCTTTTCTGTATTTGGTCCATTACATACATCGCGGCACCCCGGTGCCCAACTGGTTTATTCTTTTTTGTTGTGACCGTCTTCGCAAGTTCCAACCGAGCATTGTACCACTCCCAAGCTCCTATGTATTCGAGCATGTTCTGTATAGTACCTCGGTCTTTTCAGGTTTCCCCCCATTTCAAGCACCTATACCCACATTGAAATTGCGAGTTTGATGCTACACAGCGGGAGTTCCTGGCTGCGTACCACCGAACGGAACAACACCCCAAGCATTGTGTTATAAGAGTGCCATACAATGACAGAGGTATTAAGAGCATTAATTAAGCTTCAGCATTTCTAAAAACTCAGACATACCTGTGGAGGGGCCCATCTGTGCATTCATTTCATCCATCATTGACTCGGCCTCTGCAATCAATGAGTTCAGCTTCTTGTAGCTGTAGGTGAAGCTTCGCGTCGAGGTGATGTAGTCAACCGCATAGGCCTTTAGAGCATCATGGTCACTTTTCTGTCTCAGGATATTCACAAGCTGCATGTTCTCCGGGTCACTGTTGATGCTGTGGATAATAGGGAACGAAAACTTCCCCTCCGTGATGTCCTCACAGAAGCCTTTATTCTTGGCATACTCGCTGGCCTGGAGATTAAGAATGTCGTCGCGGATCTAGAAGACCTTGCCGAGGGTGTTCGTCAAGGGTATACAGTCACTAGGTTTACTTTGTCAGTCACGCTCATAAAATGATATTCGGCTAGACTGCCGTACCATGTATGATGGCTTTCCAACTGCATGAGCCTGACTGCGAGTCGGAATAACCCCCCCGTCTTGTCTAGGACCATGCCAATGTATTGTTCCTCCGTAGGGCACGTCAGAGTGTCTCGCCAGTACAAATCCATCCCCTGGCCCCTATGAAGATTCAGAAGCTCCTCGACAAAGACATCATTAGCACTTGTGCTGTGTAGAGCGGACAGCTTCTGCTGTGCCAGGAAGTATGCATAGTTGGCGGAGTTAATGGTCGGAGCCACACCAAAGATGCTATGGGCGACTGGTTTCCCTCGTCGAAGCTTAGAGGAGTCTTGGATATCGTCAATCCTGCAGTACTCGAATTAGCCACGGTTCACCATAGAATAAAGGTATCTTGATCAGGAGGTAAATCTTACAGCAGAGATGCTGTGTGCAGCAGATGCACAATATCGCTTATAATTTCTGCCTTCTCTGGTGAAATCCGGAGCCACTCATTGAACGCCAGCATAAGCTTGTTTCGGATGTTCTTTCCCCCAGACGATAGGAGGTAGTCTAGAGGCCCACAGATGATCTATAAAACTCTTAGGGGATATCAATCTCTCTTTTCTCCCGTTGAATCAAACCAACCTGTTCCTTGTTCTGCGGTTCTGCAACGTTCTGGGCGGTATAGACCTCGAGAAAAGTTGATGAGGGCATCATCTGCGGCATCTTCTGGATGCTTGGGGTCCCTGAGAAGTAAACTGTCATGCTGTAGTGGTCGGACAATTCGAGTAATGGCAACTGCTTGACACCAGGTAAAGATTCGGAGTTGGTTAACCACGCGAACCTAGTTCTCAATCGTCTCGGAGAAAAAACAATGTATTCAATTGCCCCTTTGCATCGAGTTTCTCCAGCGTAACATTCCAGGCAATGTATAGAGTTAAGGGGTGATCACACGATGGATTTAGGACAGCATTTACACGGGTAATCTTGAACGGTATCTACTCGTATATAATACGCACGGGGTCCAGCTGCCGAAATGATCAACAGAAGATTCGATGGCAGCACATCTGACAGGTCATGCCGATCCCTGTGGGGAGGTGTTTGTATACAAAAATTGCTAGCTGTATTGAAAATATAACCCGTGCCACAGCTCCACTCACGATCTTCTCGCACGTACTCCGGAGTAGAATGATATTTATTTTTCCATATATGCTAATGTAACATCGAAAGATCATTTCTTTGAACTAGTAGTCATATTTATTACCCGCCCTGTAGCAGGTATGGCGTGTAAAACTTACACTAGTCATTTCCTCAAAAAATATCATTCTCCGGTAGTTGCTATATACAATCTAGCCTCTCCGTCATCCTTCGACTACTATGCAGTGGGGTTCAGCTAGCCACATCGTCACTTGGTCCACTGCAGCTGGGCTGACCGGACTTGCAGGCCATCAATCCAAATTCGGTTCCCTAGTCGAGCCTAACTATTGAAAGCCATAAATAACTATTGAAAGCCATAAGCTAGTAGAATTCTGTTGTTCGAAGGCGCATCCTTGCACCTAAAAGAAGTCGGACGAAATCACACACCACAGTAACCAGCATAATGGCTGCCTCTCCCCACCTTGATCCTGCCTGGACTGATGGAGCAAGCGGCTTCCTAGTTTAAATCTTCCTAGGCATGATGCGTCATACCCCACCACCGCTATACTCCATCCACTTCACTATCACTTCATCGTCGCCACATAAAGCCTGTAATAGCAAGTCCAGCGATAGCAAAGATCCCCGCCCATCGGAGCAAGGCCTGTTGCATGTGATACCGCGCAGTGCGCGTGATCTGCTCAGAATCATTGATATGAGGGAAGGGTATATCCGTAGGGACATCTTTGCCCAGCGCTTTACACAGCGGCTCCCAACCCTCTCGAACATCGAAAAATACAAGCCGATCGGCGGGCACGTTCTCCTCCAGCCAAGCTACATGCCTGGAATAGACCCCCCTCTGGGGAAGTGTGTCGCTGACCTCCTTCACTGAATTAAACCGTCGACCATCCCCATATAGATTGCTCCACTGCTGGCGTAGCAACCAAGTAAAGTCTATGAAGTGTCTCATACCCGGTAATGGGAGGAGGAGAGCCTTGAGGAACCATAGGCGTGTAAAGCTATGGATCTGATTCATACTTTTCTCCCACGCAACCGGATCGCGCACGGTACATACAACCATGGCATCCGGGTAAAGTTCCAGCAGCTCGGGGAGGAGCTGACAACCGGGGGTGTCGGTGATGGCCGCATAGCCATCAAGACGGCGTTCGATGAGGGACAAGACGGTGCGCTTCTCGCCTTCCAGCCATGCGCGGAGGATGCGAACCCATGATTTCAACTCAGAGGGCGGGCCGCGTGTCGTCTGGGTGCCGCCGTGGTAGACAGGGCCGTCGAGCAAGATGGTCAAGGCAGTGCTGAATGATGCAGTACCCGTACGGGGCAGCCCGGCGCCGATGACTTGGATCTGGGTTCCTGGCTTCGGAGCCGATGCAGTTTGGCCCATGGTTTTGGTTGGATTTGGTGATAATCAGTATTTTCCAGACAGCACAAGCAGGAGACAGACTTTCTATGGCCATTCTACATTTCTCTGGACAATTTATGTTTCAACCCAGCTAACACCATTATTGATCATAATTACGAATAACTTGGTGGATTTTTTTTTATTTTTTTTATCTCCCCAAGAAATAGCTAGTGATTTCCGGAAAAAAGGATCTACAAACCTGAAATAGCGAATAATTCACATTCGCTCTCACCGCTTTTTGGGGGTATTCTTCTGAGGATCTACATCCTGCTTGCAAGCTCGAGGATCTAGATCGGCATGCAAGTGTTCGCGTGAGTGGTCATTTTGGCTGCCCGTCTACTACATCCCAGGGGTTGGGTTGATCATTGAATGAGAATGAGCACATAATGAGAACTTGGATTTGTAATGATTCAGTAGTATAGCTTTGTATTGTATGCCCGATAATGCTACAGCATGCTGAAGCGCGCTTTGGGGAGTGGTTACCGGTTGGGAGGGATTGAATCCTACTATGACGACTGATTTCCATTCAATCCGATATTCGTGTCGTAGATAAACCACTAAATTTTGAGGTTAAAATAATAATAGTCAATCTTTCCCTGAATTATCTACGAATCTAGGTGTTGAAAGATCTCAATGTGGTTTTTCCCGAATGCGCGCAATGTCAAGGGTGTACAGCATGGAGAATGACTTTTTGTTTTTTTTAGCAGTTCTTCCACTGCTATACGCAGCAGCGAGGCATTATTCTTCACGGACACCAACAACCTTCACTCGGATTCTCCAAGGGCCGTCCTTGGCCCGTGGAAGCAGTTTGTCTCGCATAAAACGGATATCCTCCGCAGTCGTCTCGTACAGCTCCAAGTCGAATCGACGGACAATGGCGGCTAGGACAGTATGTAATTCTGCATAGGCCAGGCTGTGGTATTCGAAGTTAACGGGACGAAAGCCTCAATGAAATGACGTCAACCTACTTCATTCCTATACAGGATCGGGTGCCTTTGCCAAATGTCACCAAGAATCTTGAAATCCCCTCATTCCGCTCAGCCGCGAGCATCCAACGCTCAGGGTAAAATCTCTTGGGATCGGAAAAGAGTTCTGGATCTGTATGCAAGAAGTATTGGAGCATACTAACGGGAGTCTGCTTGCGTTGATCAGTGGTGCCCGCCGTTACAGGGGGGTTATCAAGAGACAACATACCCCAGGTGGAATGGCATAATCCTTGTATTTCATTACCTCCGTCGGCGAAACTCTCTGTTGCCGCATAGCTAGGCCAGAAAACCGTAGGGCTTCATGAATAACCCCGTTCTGTGAAATGAGCTATTAACCAGGACCCTAGGAACGGCCAGCACAAATATACACGGTACATACCAAATACGGCAGCTTTTCAAGTTGGCGCCACGTTGCCAGGCTTTGCGGAGTGGGCATGACTTGGTCAACCTCTCCGCGGAGTTTTGTAAGGACCGTTGGATCATTAAGAATGTAGAATAGAGCCACTCCCAAGGTGGTCGCTGTGGTCTCGGTACCAGCGGCAAACAGAACCAGTCCCTCATCCTCAAGGCGGTTCAACGTCCGTTCCTCAGGGGGGACCTCGGGAGCTGTAAGAGCATGAAACATGGTCATCCTCTCAGGAGGGTTGGACGTGTCCTTCTGCTGAAGCACCTCTATTGATTTATTTCTTACCCCACCCAACAGGTCGTACATTGCTGCCCGGGCTGGAAAGATCCGGGTCATGAAGACCGAGGGCACTAATCGCAAAGAACGCTGGATGATAGGGAAAAACCTGTGCAGGTGGATTTCCTCCGTACCTTCCTGAACAACCTTTACAATGCCCTTTCCGAAGTTCTTGGGGTCCTGGAGCCCATAGCTCTCTCCATACGCATATTGTGTGATGACGTCGCCGGTCAACCCTTGGAGTCTGTCGATGAGCTCTACTACAGAGCCTTCCTTGTAGGCCCTCATAAGGCCATCCAAGAATGTCGAAAGCGACTCGTGAATAACAGGCTCGATCTTCTCGATTGATCGCCTTGAAAAGAAGTTCGTGAGTAATTTCCGGCGCATGCGATGCGTTTGATGGTCAACTGTTGCAACCAACGCAGTGGGGGAACTGAATATCTCAACAGACTTGGGATCCTTGTCGCGGCCCCCCTGGGCTGGAGCGTAGAGCTCGTCATAAAAATACGGATCTTTTATGTGGACTTCACGGGGATTGATCCGTACAATCGGACCATATTCTTGGTGCATCCTTTCAATTTCCCAGATGAACATGCCGCCCCGGATGACATCGTAATAGAACTCATAGACATGAGAGATTGCGGCTAGCTTAGGGCCAGGTATGTGATGGAGTGGGTCGAAATACAGGCGATATATACTCCGCACGATCAAGGCGACTGGGAGGAATAGTAGGATAGATAGAATGAAGTTCTCGTTGACCGAAGCCAAAGCCGCGACCGCGGAAATGACACCCATAATTTCGAGCGAAATTGTAGGCTATAAGAGAGGACGCAAGTCATACAGAAAAAATGAGGAAGTATAGGTATTATATGCATTCCACAACCCAAGGTACTCCTAATCTATGGGAGAAATGTGCTTTGTGGGAGACATTATAGGCTGAACCCAAGAAATCTTCAGCTGAGAGTCCTGTACATTGAGACGCTACGAGGGACCCACAGCATGAGATAGATCGACGGAGGTTATATACGGCGGACTAAACCCTAGCTTACGGTGAACATGCGATTTTTCAATGAAATCTTGGCGTTTTACATCAAGCCACAGAATTCTGAATTTAATTTGGGTAATTTGAACAGTTCAGGTAATTCAGATGATCACAGATCAAATGGCAGGGTGATTGTAGGTGATTGTACTGGCAGTATAGCCCCTGGTGCATGGACAACTCGGCCACCTTACCCGTAACAGTAGAAACAGAGAATTAAGATACAAAAGCTAAATTATCAGAAAAGAAAACAAGAAATTTTTACTACGGAGTAGAAATAACAATAATAATAAAATAATTAAAGAAAAATAGGGTATTCCCCACCCACTATAATCCTGGGCGTATCTCCAAGGCAAAGCAGGCGATCTGGTTTGAGCACGTTCTTTTGCTTTTTTTTTTTTTTTTTTTTTTTCCTTCTCTCTCTCCTTTCACGGCCTCCGATTTTGAACGACATCGTTGGGTTATATATCCCTGCCTCTGACCTTCTTAGCCTACATATCCCTACCCAATTAACTGATCTTCCACCTTGATTAGTAGATATTCCTGACACAGACAGTGTAGGTATTTTAGATCAGGTATAGATTATGGATCGACCCTGCCGGCAAAATTTGTAGCAGAAATGATCGACGACGATCACCACGATCGTCTCGCACCCTTCCACAATACTATTGAAATGACTATTGGACTATTCTCCTACTAGTTAGATCCACTAGTTGTCATTCTAAGTAATTTTGGATGGGGATTTATATCGGAGTTGCCGAGATCGAGGTTTTACTCCGTACGCCATATTATTAACCCTTACATGGTACATACCGGTGGCTGCTGGAGGATGTGAGGCGTCGCTGAAAAATAAGCAAACTACTACACGATAAAGAACTTACCAGCAACCCGTCTCCAGGAGGTCCCACAGTCCTCTCTTCCCTCAATCCCATGGCGACGTATTATGTCGATCGAAAGCTAAAAGGTAAGCCAGTGAAAGGCTCATACGTTCTGTACTCCGGTCTAAGTAGACGCATGCTGGTAATTATTATTTAAGAGGTTGCCAAAGCCAGGTATGTCTGAACTCATTCCAACCCCATCAGCCATTCACCTACAGTTTCCTTTCCTTACATCCTTAGGTATCCATCGAGCAACATGAATGACAATGCAGTGGCGGTTCTTGTCGATATGAAGGAGCGAAGTTTGTTGGAGAGTTTTGATAAGTCTTACCATCCAACCTATGGACTGGGCACCATGTCTGGCAATGTATACGATACCGCATGGATTGCAATGGTCAGAAAATCCATCCAAGGTAAGTCTCTATGGGCATTTCCAGCTGCCTTTCAGGCCCTTCTACAGCAACAAAACGAATGTGGTAGTTGGGGTGGAGCCACGTCGGAATTGGATTCCATTGCCAGCACCTTAACAGCTCTTCTTGCACTACAAAGACATACGGACGACTCCTGTGAGACGGACCGTCAAGACCTCAACTTGAGGATCCGTAAAGCGAAGGCATATTTAGATACAGCTCTGAAAAGCCTCAACCACTTGCTAGCAACATGTATTTTGCCTGTTAGTCTGGAGCTTCGATTACCAGCGATATTTGATCTCCTGGAAGCGGAGGGGCACGCATTCGACTTTGATCGGACATACTTGACCAAGGTTCAGTCGAAGAAGCTTTCAAAGATCGACTTGAATACCATTTTCAGCGGCCCACAATCTTCTCTTCTACACTCATTAGAAGCTTTGATTGGGAAGGTCGACTTCAAAGGGCTGGCCCATTATAAAGTTCTTGGCAGCATGTTAGCATCGCCATCGGCGACAGCAGCATATCTGATGTATAATCCTGTGTGGGATGATGAGGCCGAGGAATACATTCGGCGTGCAATCTCCAACGGAGCTGGTCATGGATCAGGGCTTGTGGCTGCAGGATATCCAACCACAGTATTTGAATGGGCATGGGTATGTTTTATTCATGTGCTTAGTATGATGAAAATTCTAATCCAGGAAAGGTGACAACAAACTTAATACGCCATGGCATCGAACCAAACAGCAGACTTAAAGAAGTTGGCAAGCAGATCGAAAGCGAGATTAAGCTGCATGGAGTAGTGGGATTCGGTAGAGTGCCTTTACTCTAGACGTTGCTTTCTTTCACTAACATACTGTGAATAGTCCCGAAGGCATGTCCTGATGCGGATGACACGGCCAAGGCTTTAGCAGCCCTTGCGCTTCAGGGAAAACACTACTCGCCACAGGCATTGGTCGATCAATTTGAACGAGAAAGCCATTTTACAACATACCTATACGAGACGCATACTAGCATAAGTACCAATGCTAATGTTCTCACTGCTCTGGTGTTGCTTTCAATCGATGATCGCTACCAGCCACAAATTGAAAAATGCATTCGCTACCTGTGCGAGGCATGGTTTCACTGTGACCGAATGGTAAAGGACAAATGGGTATGTCAAACTATAATCGTAGAAAATACGGGTTTTGCTCTAACATTACTAGAATATCTCGCCTTATTATCCGACGATGCTGATGTGTGAAGCATTGATGTCTTATATCCAGCGCTGGAGTGAAGGACATCTGGCCGCATTACCCGACGATCTTATGAAGTTTCAACTTCCGATCACGCTTTGTCAGGCCTTATTCCGAACACTGCGCACCCAGAATCAAGATGGATCCTGGGGAATCTCGGACTCTGCTGAAGAGACCGCCTATGCTCTCCTGATTCTGAAAAGTGTGGCATCTTTTAGCTTCACTGACATGATATCGGCCGAGGTTGTAAATGCCATTAGCAGAGGTGTCCAGTTTATTCTTACCAAAGGCCAGCGGTCAGAGACAGACGACCAGCTTTGGTTGGACAAAACCTTGTATGCCATACCGACTGTGTCAGACTCCTATATCATGGCTGCTGTGAAAGCTGAGGACACTGTCGACAAATCTGCCGAAATACCACATAAGCTCGTTGACATGTCAACAACAATGGTTGCTAAGATGGCCGAATACTTTTCTCGATTGCCATCTCAGACGGAAACACCGATGTGGGTTATCCAAGCTTCAGTTATAGAGGCGATTCTTTTTAGCTACAAGCTAAAGATGCTGGATGTATTCTCGACCGGAAAAGCTCTCGGAGATAAATACATCAAATATGCCGCCTGCTTTTGGATACTGGCTAACAATTCAAGCCCCGAGTATCTCCTGAGTACATGGATAATCTACAGCATGGTTGAACTTTCCGTTGGCATATTCCAAGAAGACGAATTAATGGAAAAGTCCTTGGCGAATCTACCGGAATCTACCACCCGCAATATAACCGGCTATATTGATGAACTTTGCCATGAAACTGCTCTTTGCAAAGATAATTCTCTCCACGGACCTTCATCTGGAACAAATATCTCTGATGTGGATGAGGGAACTCTTACTCTCCTCAAGAGCATACAACAAAACATAGGAGTCTGGTTCCGTTTTGTTTTGGATGATAACCTCAAGCCAAACACAAGTCCATTTGATAGACGCGAGCTACAAGAAGAACTGAAGAGGGCGACTTTTGCTGCTATGCAACAAGCTAAAGCGCACAAGTCACTCAACGGCAGCCTTCCACATTCTGACACAGAGTGTGTTACACTTGGTACCGGTCAGACATTCTATAACTGGTTACATACATCTGCTGTCCATGACGTCAAGAGTGCGCTTGTCTCCAAATACCTTATCTGTAAGATTGGGAACGGTGGAGATGTCTTCACTACAGCCAGAGAAAAGTACTTTGCCGAGAAGCTATGGAGGCAGATATCCATAGAAGGTAGGCTTTGGAATGACTTGGGAAGCATTGAGCGAGACCGCCTTGCATCAAACCTCAATTCAGTCAACTTTCCCGAATTCTCGTCTCCCCAAAGCATCAAGTCAGACGGTGATGTGGAGACGCAATTGACTCAGCTCGCGGAGTACGAACACAAGTGCACTTTATCATGCTTGGACGACTTAACACGGATCTTGGAAAACTCTGGTCGTCGAAAGATCTCGCTGTACCTACAGATGTATTACCGTTGTTGTGTGATCTATTCTGAAACGTGTGTTACGTATGCTTTCGGCTCCACCACGGCGAAGTGAGCAGCGGGTATAAGGAAGAGATGAAATGTCTGTGGCGTTGCTAGCGAGGAACAGAGCGTGCAAATAAAGAACGGGCCTCTAGCTCTAGTTCCTTGGAAAAAAGTTCGTGTTACAAATAATACGATGCTCGGTATAGGGCGATTAACCATACCCCTGGTCCTTCCTGGTCTTGCAAAAATGTTGCATAAGCATTGTGGTGCCTAGACCGCAGTCAATAAGCTGATAATGTAGTCAATCCAACCTAGTGTGTTTATATGGATGTCTTGTATGCTGGAGCAATGGAGAATCAAAAAGACTACCTCAATAGTACATGTAAATCCATCCTACCGGAAACATGGTATCGAATAAAAGAAATCCCCCCAAGACGCCATTATCCAAAAGTCGATATCGTCATGGATTTGGGCTGGATATAGTCAGACGCATTGCACAATCTGCGGATCACCAAAACATTTACAATATGAGAACACCAAGCCTTCGATAGGCAGCATGCACTCGAAGCTAAGTTGCAGATAGGCAGCCACAGTAGCAGTCCTGGAACCTCTGGGATGTGTATGCCTTTATGCTGACGCCCCCGGGTGTAGTGTCTATCTGTCTTACAGTGTTATTGTATCGGTATTATATTTATAGGGTATTTTTAGCTGGGAAGGAGGCTCTTAATATAAGTTAATATTAGGTCCTCCTAGGCTAAACATCTCGGTAATAGAGGTGGCCACTGATTCAGTAATATTGGTCTTTTGGTCAACCTTGTGTCACCAGATCCCTAGATTTGGTGCCTTACACTAGTCCAGATCTACTACTAATTTAATAAAGATTAGCAGTAATATCTAAGATTAAACTATTATCTTGAATTTTAGTAATATATATACTATATAATAGTCTATTTCAGGGCTTTACTAGATCTAGATTTTAAAGTGTGGGGCAGCCGTGGCTGAATGTAAAACAGTGAGTTTTCTGTAAAATTGCTCAAGAATCGATGTATTGTCCAGAAGCTTGATTTAGTCCACTGTACTTCAGGTTAGTGATCCTTGACGCGTGGTCCGCTAACTTGTCTCAGACTTGACAACGAAGCCCCGGGCGTAAAACAAGTATAGTTAATCTAGATTAATTATCCAATTTTCGGCTTAATTGTAGTTAGATATAACTGACCCTATTAACCTAGCTATCCATACCATATGCACCCACTCTGGCCGCGCTGGAGTGGGTGCGCCGCACTGGAATTATAGATATTACTAGAATTATAGATTTCTTATTAAAATTATAATTTTGAAGCCATACTGGGTGTTATCTATATAAAAAAAATTACTATTATTACTAGCTGCCTCTGCTGATGCATTTAATATCTTATTCTCTTATATAGATGCTAGTAGTAGTGGATATCTATATACTTTCTTCTATTACTTTTATAAATATCTCTCTTATATAGCAGCATCTTTAGCCTTCCTAGAAGTAATTAACTAATTTATATCCTGTAATTTTAATATCCTAGACTAGCTAAGTAGCTTAATATATTACTTAGTATATTAATACTATAAAGGGGCCTGCGCAGCCCTAATTTAACTAATAGTTTTATTTACTATAGCTAGGTGCTTAGTAGTAATTTAATTATATTTAAATATCTACTTAAGATTCTACTATAGCTTTAGTATAAAAAGATCTATATACTTAGATAGCTTTACCTAATTCTTCTTAAGGGCCTGAATTATCACTGGAGGTGAGATATTAATACTAGATAAGGAAAGTAGCTAAGAGAGTAGTATAAAGTAAGTTATTTTATTAAGATTAGGTATATAGATATCCAGAATTTATTCCTATAATTAGATAGTAAGATTATTAGCTATCTTACTATTAATTAGCTAGATACTATGATCTTTAAAGGCCTTATAGATAATCTATTAGTTAAAAGCCTTCTCCTAGATAGATCTAATTATATATAAGAATTCTAACTTCCCTACTAGCTTACTAGCCTAGTAAGATAGCTTATTATTTATATAGTAGAAGTATTACTTATAGCTTAAGAATAGCTTACTATCTAATAGCTAGTAAAGATATATTATATAAGAAAGGAATCTAAAGGGAATAATACTATTATCTTTATAGATCTATAAGAATTTAATAGTAAGATAGGAGCTATAACTATTAAATAGAAGTATCTATTTCTCTCTCTTCTTAGTATATTTATTTATCACCTTAGTAAAGCTTTAAAGCCATTAGACAGCTATTTCATCTAATATCTAGCTATTAGGAGATATTACTATTATAGTATCTAGTAGTAAGGCCTTACTCTTATTAAACTAGGTTTCTATAAAGATTCTATTGTCTTTAGTAAAGAAAGAATTAGTATTAGAAGAGAAGAATTATTAGAATCTTATCTTTAAAGATAAACTAGGGATCTATATACTATCTATCTATAGTAATATATTTAATAGCTATAATATTCTCTCCTCTTTTAGATTTAGTAAGATTAGGGGCTTTCCCTTTACTTTTTAAACTAATTATATTTCTAGATATACCTTCACCAGGTTAGAAGCTACATTTATTAAAGTTATATACTAACTATACTAGTATATTCTTTTTAATAATATTTATAAGCTAATTATACTAGTATCCTAATAACCCTGCATCCTTAGCCTAGATATACTTTAATTCCTTTGTCTTTTACCTTACAGGGCCTAGATTAAGGTATTCTAGGAGTTATTTCTTAAAGTAATATACCTATATCTTTCTAACCTATTAAGATATCCCTATGTGTTAAAGTATCTAATTTATATACTCTTCTAGCAGCTTAGGTATTACTGGTATATTCTAATTATATATATAGACTATCTACTGTATTAAGGCTTCCTCCTGGTATCCTATAAGTGCTTTATTAACTGGTTTCTAAGTTATATAAGGCTAATGACTATTTTTAATGCAGTTATATAGAGTTATGGAAGGAATACTATATTTATATATAATCTTAGTAAAATTCAGTTTTTTTTCAGCTTAAGCGGCTTCGCAGGCCTTAATCATACTAGATTTATTATATCTAGGCATATTTAGTGGTGGGAATGGCTTCAAATAAATAATAATATATAGTGTTAATAAAATCTATAATTCTAGTGTAATCTATGATTCTGGTGCAGTGCACCCACACCGCCTGCGGTGTGGGTGCGTATGGCACAGATACAACCCAGCAGTTAGGTATAGCTGACCTCATTACCTAACCCAACCTGGCCAAACGCCAGTCTAGTCAACAATTACCACACTTGTCTGAATTAAGCTGAATGAGTATACGACCGCAAATTGTCCGCCCACATGCTGCTAGCAAGGCTCCAAGAAGAGAAGAGTTGCCCAATAAAAGTTATCTGAATGGCTTCTTAGCGACCAGAATAGGAAGCGGTCAGGAGGCAGTGAGGGGGAGGAGGGGGTGTATCCTTTCCCATTATATCATAGTACCCCAAAAACTCTGTAGATCAATCAAGTGTCCAGCTGTTGTGGAGTAGCTGACCACCTCAGGAGGGTTTAGTACATCGGAGCTGAAAATTTGACAACAAACCCCTCCATCGATTGATGATCCTTACTTTATAGAGTAATGTGAACACAACAGCTGAACTGACATGATCTCATAGCTGAGGCTGGCTGAAAGCCCCGACCTGGTTATTAATAGGCAGTCAAGTGTCCACCACCAACCTTTCGCATACTTTTTCCTGACCCCAACCCAATAAATCCAATTCTACAACATGGTTGACTCGCAAATCCTCAAAGTCATTCAGAACTCTATCGAGGCCTGGAAGGATCTTGCCGTTCCCTCCATCCAGAAAATCACTGATATGGAATCAAATAAAAAACATTATAATGTAAGCACTACAGCCCAAGATGCTGATACTGACCATAGCAACTCACAAAATGATGCTAGGAGGTTTATGAAAACTTAGAGTGGGCTATCAAGACCGTTGCTCACATTGGGGACGATCTTGAGGAGCTGGTCAAGGAGCCGGTAAGCAATGAGGATGCGGACCAGATTGTCACAAAGTTGGAAGAGGTGAGAACCATCATAATCTATCTACTGGTAAGGAAAGACCAAGTAGACTAACCACCGTAAACTTCACTATTAGTTGGTATCCCAGGAGAAACCCTTTTTTGATCATTACCACAAATATAATGATAATGATGTCTTGCAACCATGGAAAACATATATTGAAGGCCACGCGTTGGACCGCAGTTGTTACACTCCCGGGTGGCTAGACGACCAGTTTTACCCCGAAAACAGCTTTCATAACCATGTATGGCAGGTAAGTCTACACTGCAGGCTTTCAAGCAACAGGGCTAATTCTGGAATTTGTCTAGCGAGTTGGCCAGCTTGTATATGACAATATGCCTTCCTGTCAGGAGCGTATCCAGGAGGTCGTGAACAACGACGATGTCTACTATGGCTTTTGCTCTTTTGATCCCAAATAATCAAGTCATGGAATGCGCCAGACGATCCTGTGAATACCATGACTGTCATTAATATCACCTCATTACTAACTACTCTGTTTCTTTGCATCCTACTACTGTACCAGTTACGTTAGTTATAGTTTAAATCTACTTTATCAGAACAATGTAAAGCGATAGATCCCAGTCCCTTCTAACTATGGGGAACAGTAATCTTCTATCGGAGAAAATTAGGAAAAGAGGAAGTTCCTCAGTAACCAAGAGGATACTTACGGGAGCGCGATAATCAGATTAACACTAAAAACTCCTCGGAACAAACTTCAGTGAGATATGTCTTGAGAAAATATAATGTCCTGGACTGCCTTATCAATATAGGATCAGTACTACTGGCAGGACCCGGTAGGCAAAGGGATTATAAACTTCGGTCCCTCCATCTAAAAGCTCTTATTAAATATATAGAGCAAGGCGGAATAATAGAGACCTGTAATAATATTCCTAATAATATACGCGACCAGCAATATACAGAAGGCAGTAAGCGGCTTTTAAAATAGGCTATCCACCCCTCTACCACTTCTAGCATCATCCGCCGTGGGTTCTGCACGGTATCGCATGTTCCAACTAGATAATTAAGTGATAAGCGTCGGAAATTCCAGACCGTCCTGATCCTGCAACTCCAGCAATCATTCTGCCGTGGAGTAGGCTATACCAGTTGTATTAGTATTTTGGAAGGTGCTCATCGGCCCGGGAACTAATATTTACTACTTCTTGGCAGGAGAATGAATCCAAATCTTGAGGAAAGGAAGAGGAACGGCCCGTGCCGCCCGTCTATACGGTGAAACGGTATGGAGGCCTTTCTGCCGAAGGCGGTGTCCTTCCACTGTCATCTCATCAGCGCGATCTGTACCGCCATGGCACATGGTTTGCTGCCGGGCTCTGGCCCGTTACACTCCGATCACCTTCCCCAATACCCCAGAATCCCCAACGCAACAAGCTTGCCGTCCTGCTTCACCGTGAAGCGGCGGCCTAAGTCGAGGTATTGCAAGGGTTTCTCAACATCAACCATCATTGGCTCGACTCTTCGCGGTGAAACTGTTGTTCGGATTTTATAAAAGGCACTCAAGGTTCCCTCAACATCGTTTGGACCATCGGTGAACGTTAGGCGATCCCCGGCAGCAATGGGAGCACCACCTTCATCTTCTGGAAGTACATAGATTTCCGCGCGGAAGTTTGTCCCCCTGCGAACTTCCTCGAATTTCCAATGAGACTCTGCCTCTAAATTGGTATCCGGCCCAGCGGTGGGAATCGTTGTCCGATAAAGATAGAGATCAGAGTGCCATTTGCTCTTCCAGATGTCCTCTGTCTGGTTCCACTTCTCAATAGGAGGAGCTCTGATAAAATGGAAACGATCGGTTCGAAAACGGCGCTTGATATGTCTGTATTCTTCTTCTCCCATTTTGACATCACGGGTAGCATCCAAGTCTCCGGTCACGATCCATGCAGTGTGCTCCCCGCGTCCATGGGTTTGCGCAGCCTCCAAAATTTCTTTGACATGTCCAAATATTCCCACCTCCTCGGGGTCTTCCTCCGGGTCTTTAAGTTGCGAGGTGGCGAAGATGATCGACCCAAATATAAGGGAAAGCCGTCCCACATCGCTTTCATAGCGTCATCCCAAGTAGCGAACTCGATGAATATAAAATGCGTCCCGTATCGGAGTCCCTGAAGCGTGTGGTCCTCTTCGATATATTCGTATTTGGCGTAATTCACTGTGAGACCGTGCTCGGTCTTCTCACTTTATGCGATGGTTCATTGAATCTACGAAGGGCCGGCTTGACCCTGATGGTTGGCCAACAATGAAATCGACTCTTAACCACGCCGAGAATTTCGTTCCAGGCTTTTTCCTCGAGACTGGCAATCGTATCCCTGAATGTGATGCTGCCGATCTTTATAATGTGAGCATTCTCATTACTTTCATATAATTATTCACTGACGTTTCGAAGTGGATCAAGAAGGATTTGGTCCAAGACCGCACCATTAAAGCAATTGAAAGGCAAAAGGTTGATCTTAAGCTTCGCGATTTTGACCGAGCTATGACGGCTCTGTGGGAGACCGATGATGTATTTTTCATGACTGGGAGGTCCCGGGTACAATTTCATTTCGTCCCCCTCCAGTTCTTATGTACAGGAGCAAGGATTGCTTCTCTCACACCTCGATCAGATCAAAAATTCGAGCGAGGTCTCCGTTATGAGGTAAGTCACCTCTTTGCTTTAATTCCCTCTCCCAAATTTTCACATCATTCAGAACATTCAACTTGTCCTATTCCGTGCTGTCGATGCCCCTTGGAAACTTGGATATCGACTTGATCAACAGTGGGTCAAGAACAACATAGATCCCAACTTAACAAGGTGTATGTCATGCCTAAGTTACAGTGCTATCCCTTCAGCAACATTTTCACAGTAGAACCATCGTGTGGTGGGGTTACTGATATGTAAAAATTAGGAAAACAATAACTTTAATGCAGAATAAATTTTTGAAATTTCTCACATAAATTAACCCCTTTTAACCTTAAAATTTGCCTAGTTTCTCATGACATTGACTGCTTTTGATTAATCCTAATTTTATAGGGTTTTAATTACTATATTATTATTAAAGCCAGGGTGGCCGCCCCTAATAGCCTTCTATAGTAGTAAAAAGGGGCTATAGAAAACTCTATATAATTATATCTTAGATCTTTACTATAATATAAGCATCTATTTAAACTATTTAAAGGTTTATAATTAAGGAATCCTAAAGCCTCTTATTAAGCTAATTACTAATATATATACTATTATTAAGGAGGTTCTAAAAAACCCCCTAGGTAATAACTAGAGGAAGATAGTTATTAATCTCTATAAGATTATCCTTAATATTAAAAAGAATACCACTAGTATATAATATATCTTAACTACTTAATCTATTCCTATATCTACTAAGGTTTACTTATATATAGCTATTACTATAGGGGTACTATCTCTAGGCTATATAGTCTTTTTCTATAGTTTATTAAATAGTCTCAGGGCCACCCTCTTAGAACTAAGTAAGGATTATAAGGTTATTATTAAGCTACTAGACACTAGTATAGTAAGTATATTCTACTATCTAAAGATAGTAGAGATAAAGAATAGGGCTAAGAAGACCTATATAAAGGCCTTAAAGAAGGCTATAATAGCTACCCTTATATCTATTAAATTTATAGCTACCTACTAGCTTAAGTTAGGTAACTTAAGCCTTAGCCTATAAACTACTTAGTAGGTAGAGATTATATATTACTACCCTAGCTAGACTAAATTATTCTACTAGAGAGCCATCATCCATCTACTAACTTAGGGTATAGTAGTTTATAATATCTAGGTTAAATTAATTAGTAATCTAGCAGACCCTAAGGAGGCTAAGTAAGTTACTAACTAGTTACTAACTAAGAATTATTTCTCCTAGGAAAAGGCTAAGATTATCTATATTACCTAGCTTATAAACTAGCCTACTAATAAGAAGTCTTCTATCTTAGTAATTAAGTTTTTAACCCCCTAAGCTACTAATAAAGCTATTAATAAGAGAATTATCTAGGATTCTACTATCCTAACTATAGTCTTATATAACTAGTCTACTTACATCCACTAGTACTTTAACTATTAGTAATATAGCTATATAGGAAGTATCTATTCTAATAAAACTATATATAGCCTCTATATAGGTAGCTATAAGACCTATAGCTACCTACTCTAGGAGGCTGCTACTAGCTAGGAGCTATAAAAGTATACTAACTATAAGGATATATATACTACCTAGTCTAAAGAGTATAAGAAGTATATAAAGAAGATAAATAAGATATAAATAGTATTCTACTACTATTAGTAATATTACTATATCCCACCCTACCTATAAGACTTCTAAAGAGATCCTAGGAGTAGTAGCTTAGATTCTATTACTATACTAAGTACCTCTACTATGATATCCACCCCTATAGATATAAATGCCTTAGTAGGGGGCTTACCTATACTAATTAAGGGATCTAGGGGCACTAAGGGCACTAAGAGCTCTACTATAGTAAAGAAGGCTACTAGACTATCTAAGAGGCCTAAGAAAGTAAGATTAGAGCTATCCTATAAGTAGCTACCCTATAGGCAGGCACCTACTATAATATTATCCCTAATATTACTAATAGACTAGAGTATTAATAATATCTTATTCACTCCCTTAGTACTATACCCTAAAGCCTCTTCTATATCTATAAATAAGAAGGCCCTAACTAATTAAACTAGCCTAACTAACTAAACTAGCTTAATTAATTAAACTAGCTCTACTATCTCCTACTACTTTACTTAAATTATAGACTACCTAAATAATATTAACCTACTAGACTTAACTAACAAAGGTGATGACCACCCTCTAAAATAACTATAAAACTAATAGATAGCTACCACGCGCAGGACCTACCTTAATATATACTAGGATAATAATACTACTACTAATAATAAGAATAGCTATACTAAGCTCCCTAATACTCTAGAAAGTAATTAACAGCCTAGCTTAATTCTATAAAATAAGAATATTAATACTAATTCTAGTACTCATAGTAAGAAGAAGAAGTAGAAGTAGAGAGTAGATAGCCTTATCTAACTAGAAAAGGACCCCTAGATTAACTTCTCTATAAAAGCTAGAATACCCTAGTTCACTAGTAGCTATTAAAAGAGTATATAGAATATCCTATATTATACCTCCTATAAATAGTATATTCTAAATACTATAATATAATATATACTACTCTAAGAATATAATAATAACTCAGTTTTTATATAACCTAGAGGTCCTAAAAGTAGATATTATTACTATCTAGGAACTATAGGATAACCTATACTAAGATACTACCTACTATCCTACTTAAGTAACTTACTAGCTACTCTACCCTAAGGTAATAGAAACTAGTAGCTATACCTAGATCTACCTCTATATCTCTTACTAGATAGACCCTACTAAATAGAAGTATATAGCCTACTTATAGAACTACTAGGAGCTTAAGCTATACTATAATACTAGAATACTCTATCTATATAATATCTATAATCTACACCTAGATACTAATACCTAAACTAATACCCTTAACCTCCTAGAGTAGGTCCTAGACTAGCAGAATAGTAGCTATCTACTCCTAGGAGATTTCAACCTCCACTACCTAGCCTAGGGCAGTAACTATATCTACTATACTAACCCTAGATCTAATAAACTATTAGAACTAACTAATACCTAGCTCCTAGATCTATAGATAGAACCAGGTACTGCCACCCATAATGAGTAGGGCCACTAGTTAACTATTAATCTAATATTTAGATCTATGGACCTAATAGCCTACCTTATAACCTGTAAGATGGCCCCTAATATCTATACTAATTCTAACTACCTACTAATTTATCTACTTCTTAATATTATAACACCCCTACTGCAGGCCCCTAAATATTATAACTAGAAGGCTATAGATATATAGAAGCTCTGTATATTTATATCCTCTAATCTTAACCTATATAGGTGGACTAGGAACCTCAAAACCCCCTATTAGATTAATAATACTACTAACTATCTTATTAAAGTTATCTAGTAAGTTATTACCTAGTCTACACCATAGGCCTGCCCCTCTAAGTAGGCTAACCCTAACTAGATATCTGAATATACTAAGATGGTCAAGCTAGCATATCTCTACTAATAAATCTATACTAGTATATATACTAATAATAACTAGACTGCATACACTAAGGCCTATAACTAGAAAGGGAAGGTTATCTCCTAATCCCTACAGCATAGTTATTATAAATATATATAATAGATAGTTAATCAAGGCCCCTAGGGCATATAGCACATCACTAAGTAGGCCTAGAACTACTAGGGAGATAGCTAGATAGGTATCATCCCTACCCTCTACTATAGAGATTATATTATAGAGATAGCTAAGTAGAAAGCTAACCTACTCTATAAGACCTTCTTCCTAGCACTACTAGCTACAGACCTCTCAGATATAGAGGGCAGAATATATAACTAATTATAGAATATTATCTTCCCTAAAATTAATAACTAGGAAATTACTAAAGCCATCAGGTGTGCGCCTCCTAAGAAGGTACTAGGACTAGATACTATTCTAAATAAGGTCTAGCATGCTCTAATAGCCATCCTAACTTTTATCTAGGTAATTAAGACCCTATTTAATACCTATATCTATATTAGTTATAATCCCTAATACTTCTAGGTATCTACTATAGTTATTCTCTATAAGGCAGCCCCCTAAGATTTCTATCTTCTAAAGTCCTACCACCCTATTACCCTACTTAACACCCTAGGTAAGGTCCTGAAGTTAATTATTATACTTTATATCTCCTAGATACTAGAGGAATATAGCTTACTCCTAAAAGATTACCTAGGCAGCTAGAAAGG